GAGCAGCAGCAGCAGGGCGTTCCGGGGGTCTGCGCGCAGGCGCGGGCCGGAGGGGCGGTTCGCGCGGCTGCAGGGGCAGCAGCGGGTGGCGCTGCGCTGCTGCTGCTGCTGCTGCTGCTGCTGCGCAGCCCGAATTGCGCGCGCAGCAGCAAACTGGGGCCCCACAGGCAGCAGCAGCAGCCCGCAGCGCGAAGCGGAAGGCCTTGCATGCAAAGAAACGAAATTGGGGTGTCTTGACAGCTGCTGGCTAGCCAGAGCCTCACCGGGCGGGGCCGCGGGGTGTCTGCGCAGCTCTCCGCAGCCGCGGGAGCCCTTGAGCTTGTCTTTGGAAGTGAAAGCAGCAAAAAAAGAATTTAAAAAGGAAATAAATGGATTATAAATGTGGAAAGTGGCGTCTTTTAGGGTCTGCGAGACGCAGGGAGAACCTGTGGGGTGTGCCCGCCCCACTGGAGCGATTGCGCTGCTGCTGCTGCTGCTGCTGCTGCTGCTGCTGCTGCTGCTCAGCCGCGTTGTCTTGCTGCAGCCACTTTTCTGCTTTTCTCCTTTTTAATTGCAGGCTGCAGCCTCCGCTGCTCAGGTTAACTACTCCAATAGACCTGTTTTTTATTTTTTGTTGTTTTTTGTGTCTTTACGAGGGCTGCGGCAGCCGCAGCAGCGCCTCGTCCTGCTGCTGCTGCTGCTGCTGTTGCGAGCGGGGCCTTGCGCTGCTGCTTTTGCTGCTGCTGCGGCGACTCAAGCCTCAACTTCACCTTTACAGATCCGCTTAACGGCCCCAATTGCTTCAATATTATCTTTGCTGCTACCTGTTGGCCCGTTGCTGCAGCAGCCGCTGCTGCTGCGCACACAGTCCGCTTCTCTGCAGCCGCAGCAGCAGCAGCAGCAGCAGCGCCGCTTGCTGCTGCACCGCCACCGGCAGCAATGAATGCAAAGTAATTTGTTCTAGGGACGGTCTCCCCGCATTTCGAGTTTTGTTTAATACTCCGCAGCGGCAGAAGCAGCAGCAGCAGCAGCAGCAGCAGCAGCAGCAGCAGCGGCAGCAGCAGCGACGGCACGGCTGGAGCAATGAACTCAAGGTGATTGCTGCGGGTCCCAGCTTTTCTGCCTGTGAGCCCATAGCCGTGCACGCGTAGCCGTAGCAGCAACAGCTGCAGCAGCAGCAGCAGCAGCAGCAGCGGCGCTGGCAGCAGCAGCAGCGGCAGGGCAGCAGCAGCAGCGTCTCGCCCTTTGTACAGTAATGGAGCAGCTCCTGAGCCAGCCGCTGCAGCAGCTGCTGCAGTCGCCGCTGCTGCAGCAGCAGGCGCCGGGGCACTACAGGCCGCCGGGGGAGCAGGAGCAGCAGCAGCAGCAGCAGCAGCAGCAGCACGCGGCGCCGGGGCACTACAGGCCGCCGGGCGAGCCCGAGGACGAGGAGCAGCAGCAGCAGCAGCAGCAGCAGCAGCAGCAGCAGCACGAGGCGCTGCAGCAGCAGCGCGAGCTGCTGCTGCGGCAAAAGGCCCAAGCTGAACTCTGCACTTTTCATTATAGTCTTATGGGGGCCCCCGGAGCAGCAGTAAAGGAGGCCCGTTTGTGGGGTTCTGAGAAGCTGCCGGAGTTGCTGCCAGCAAGCGTGAGTGCTGCTGCTGCTGCTGCTGCGCTCAGCAGCAGCAGCAGCAGCAGCAGCAGCAGCAGCAGCAGCTTCGAGTGCTTCCTGGACGACCTCACGGTCTCGGACTTCCTGGGGTCGCTGCAGCAGCGGGTGCTCTGGTGCAGCCGGCTGGAGACGCAGCTGCAGCAGCTGCAGCAGCAGCAGCAGCAGCAGGAGCTGCTGCTGCGGGATGGTTTGCTGCTGCACTTCTCGCTGTCTCTCTTCACTCTTTGCCCAGAGAAGTTCAGCCACCAGGGGGCGCAGCAAAACCAGCAGCACTTTCCAGCTTACAGAGTGTCTCCTGCTGCTGCTGTTGCGGGGGGTTTGGCCCCGCTTTCGGCCTACAGCAGCAGCAGCAGCAGCAACGTTGCTGCTGCTGCAGTCTCCCACGTGCTGCAGCAGCAGGCAGCAGCCTACGCCGGCGGCGAGGCCCCCGGGGGCCCCGCAGGCAGCAGCAGCAGAGACGCAGCAGCAGCAGCGGCGGTCAAGCTGGAAGCAGCAGCAGCAGACACAGCAGCAGCAGCAGCAGCAGCAGCAGCAGCAGCAGCAGCAGCAAGGCCTTGTCTTTATGAACTCTACAGACCTGCTGTTGTCCCTTCTGTGGGGCGCTACAAAGACCTCAGCATGAGCAGCGTTGCTGCTGCAGCACGGCAGCTTGCTGCTGCCCCTCAGGGCCTGGCAAGGCAGCGACCGGCGGCGGTGAGGGTTTAGGGTTTAGGGTTTAGGGTTTAGGGTTTAAGGTTAGCTCCCCGCAAACCGCCCGCAGGGCTCAAAGCCCGCAGCAGCAGCGCAGCGAGGGCGTTTAGGGTTTAGGGTTTAGGGTTTAGGGTTTGCGGCGCCAGCCCCAGACAGCCCCGGGCCAGCGCCTAGGGTTTAGGGTTTAGGGTTTAGGGTTTAGGGTTTGCGGCGCCAACCCCAGGCAGCCCCCGGGCCGAGGGTTTAGGGTTTAGGGTTTAGGGTTTAGGGTTTGCGGCGCCAGCCCCAGACAGCCCCGGGCCAGCGCCTAGGGTTTAGGGTTTAGGGTTTAGGGTTTAGGGTTTAGGGTTTGCGGCGCCAGCCCCAGACGGCCCCGGGCCAGGGATTAGGGTTTAGGGTTTAGGGTTTAGGGTTTAGGGTTTAGGGTTTGCGTGCAGGATCGGGGCAGCGTTGCCGCTGGCAGCGCGCAGCGCGCTGGCCCTCTGCAGCGTGGGGGTGGAGTTTAGTGTGTCTTGTCTGCGGCAGCAGCTAGCTAGCTGCTTGGCGCGGCTGCAGCTGCTTGCTGCTGCTCTTGCTGCAGTGGTTTCTCTGGAGTCATCTTTGCTGCCAGCAGTTTACAGTTTGCCGCAGCACGTGATGGGGTGTCTGCAGCAGCGGGGGGGGGGGCTGGGGCCGCGCGCGCAGCAGCAGCAGCAGCAGCAGCAGCAGCAGCAGCAGCAGCAGCAGCAGCGGGAGGCTGCCTGGGTTGCTGCGCTGCAGCAGCCCCCCAGGAAGGCAGCAGAATGGCCCGACTACGTCGCAGCTTTTAATGACTTCATTCCCATTCGCCCGCAGCAAAGTCCGCCCCGTGCTGCAGCAGCAGCAGCAGCAGCAGCAGCAGAAGCAGCAGCAGAAACCGCCGCCCCCGCCAAGCGCAAGCGGCCCGTCCTCGACGACCTGCAGCAGCTGCAGCACGCAGAAGCCAGCAGCAGCAGCGACGCAGCAGCAGCAGCAGCAGCAGCAGGACTGGGCCCCGCGGGGCTGCTGCTGCAGCACGGAGACAGCTGGGGCAGCAAGGCCGACGGCGTGGAGGGCAAGCTGCTGCGCAGCAGCAGCAGGGACCTGCTGCAGCTGCTGCAGCGGCAGCAAAGCGCGGAGGCGCTCAGCAGCAGCAGCAGCAACGGCTGCAGCAGCAGCAGCCCCTACAGGGAGCTGCGGCAGCAGCTGCTGCCGCAGCGCTCGCGCTCCATCCAGTCCGTGCTGTCCTTCGCGGGCGACAGCAGCAGCAGCAGCAGCAGCAGCAGCAGCACGAGCCGGCAGAACAGCCTGGAAGTGCTGCTGCTGCAGCTGCGGCAGCAATCCGCAGAAGCAACTCCGGGCGCCGGCATGGAGGCCTTGTCTGCTGCTCTTTCTTCCAGGCTGTCAGCAGCAGCAGCAGCAGAAGACAGAGACACAGAGACTGGGGGTTTGTGGCTGCAGCAGCTGCAGCAGGAAGCAGCAGGGTCTCCTCCGGCCTTTTTGCGGCGGACTCCCAGCGACGAAATTGCTTCCGAAGCTGTGCTGCAGCAGCTGCAGCGGCAGCTCACGGACCAGCAGCAGCAGCAGGACGAGGAGCTGCAGCAGCAGCAGCTCCGCCTCCTCGAGAAGGCAGGCCTCAGCACGGACTGCAGCAGCAGCAGCATTGTGTCTCCTGTCTTCGGGGGTTTGCTGGGGGAAGACGCAGCGAAGCAGCAGCAGCAGCAGGAGCTGCAGCAGGAGCTGCAGCAGGAGCTGCAGCAGCACCTGCAGCAGCAGCAGCAGCAGCAGGAGCTGCAGCAGGAGCTGCAGCACGAACTGCAGCAGCACCTGCAGCAGCAGCACGAGCTGCAGCAGCAGCTGCTGCTGGCGAACCAGGCCAGTGGCGGCGAGGGGGGCTGCAAGGAGGACGCGCTGGAGCTGCAGCCTGCTGCTGCTGCTGCTGCTGCTGCTGCGCTTTCTGGGGAGCCGCTGAGCAGCCTGCTGGAGCTGCGGCCGAGCAGCAGCAGCCGGCAGCTGTCGCCGCAGCCGAGTCCGACGCCGACGCTGCAGCACCTGCAGCAGCAGCAGCTGCTGCAGCAGCAGCAGCAGCGCATAGTGCTGCCGCACTGCAGCAGCAGGGGCGCGCTGTCGACCGTGAGCAGCGCGAGCTCAGCAGCAGCAGCAGCAGCAGCAGCAGCAGCAGCAGCAGGCCCCTCCTACTGCCGCAGCGGCAGCAACGGCAGCGGGGGCCTGGGCTGCATATCGCCGACAGCGTCGGACGTGTCTTTGCGGAGCAGCGGGGGCGGCGCTGCTGCTGCTGCTGCTGCTGCTGCTGCAGCGGGAGGCGGCTTCGGGGGCGCAGCAGCAACGCCTGCTGCTGCTGCTGCAGTGGCCTATTTGCCTCTTATTGATGATATTCTCGTGCAAGTTGAAGAGAAGCAGCTGCCGCTGCCAGCAAAGGTTCCTGGGGTTTGTTTTAATCCTTCAGACAACACTTGGAGTGCGCAGTGGACGCTGCCAGCGGAGAGCAGCAGCAGCAGCAGCAGCAGCAGCAGCAGCAGCAGCAGGAAGCGCCGCAAACGAACCTTCAGCATCAACATCTACGGAAACGACACAGCGAGGAGAATGGCCGTGGCCTGCAGGCTGCAGGCGGAGAAGCGGCAGCTGCAGCTGCAGCAGGGAGAAGCAGCAGCAGGAAAGCGGCATCCTGCATGCACTCCGCCCCACGTGGCCAACCTTGCTGCTGCTGTTCTTGCTGCAGCAGCAGGCATGAACACAGGCATTGGGTAGCTAGCCAGGCCCCACAGCGGCAGCCCGCGCCAGCAGCAGCGGCGTGCAGCAGCAGCAGCAGCAGCAGCAGCAGCAGCAGCAGCGGCTGCCGCAGCAGCAGCGACTCCGCATTTATTTGAGGGAAGCTGCTGCTGCAGCACGGCGAATTTGGTGTCAGTGGCAAGTTTGTGTTTTGTCATTCGTAAGCAGCAGCAGCACACGCTGCAGCAGCAGCAGCGGGCGCACCAGCAGCAGCGGAAGCAGGGGCTGCTGCTGCTGCTGCTGCTGCTGCTGCTCTAATTCAGTTTGGGTTCATGCGGTCTACTACCTAGCCAACTGGCTAGCATCTGTGAGCAGTCCTTTTGTAGCAGTGGAGGCAGCAGCTGCAGCTGTTGCTGCAGCTGTTGCTGCAGCAGTTGCTGCAGCAGTTGCTGCTGGTGCAGCAGCAGCTGCTGCGTTTCTTGCTGCTGCTTGTCTTGGGTTTTATTGCGGGCCCTCGAAGGCCACTGGGGGAACAGTAGCTGCTGCAGCAGCAGCAGCAGCAGCAGCAGCAGCTCACTGCATCTGACGCGTTTAAGTTAGAAGGTTGGGATGAGGGAGCTGGTTGTGTGGCTCCTGCAGCAGCAGCAGCAGCAACAGCAGCAATAGCAGCAATGGCAGCAGCAGCAGCAGCACTGAGGGGGCAGCAGGCTGGGGAGGCCCTCTTTGTATTATGTCTCCCCTCCTGCTGCGCAGCGCCTGCTGCTGCTGTCTGCTGCGCCGCCGAACTTGTAAGCAACTCTTGTTTGGCTTGCTGGCTAGCTAGCTAGCTGCTGGCTAGCTAGCTAGCTAGCTGCTCAGCTAGTCAGCGGGCAGTCTGACGACAGCTAGCTGGGGCCAAATCACTTGTCTGCCTTTCGGCGGGGCTAGCCAGGCGGCTAGCTAGCTGGTAATAGCTGCTGGCTGGCGGGTAGAGGGTTTGGCTAGCTAGCCAGTGCAGCTAGCTAGCTAGCTAGCTAGCTAGCCAGTGGTGCTGTGTAGATGGATAGCTGGTAGGGGCGGCGGTGGCCAAGTCGTTAGCTAATAGTGGCGGCTAACTGGCTAGCTAGCTAGCTAGCTTATGGTGGTGGCTAGCTGAAGGTTATCCAGTAGCAGTTAGCTAGGTAGAAGCTAATAGCAAGCTGCTCCTAGCTAGCCACCAGTGTTGGTGGCTAGCTAGGAGCAGCAGCTAGCCAGCTAGCCACGGGAGGCAGGTTTTGGGCAGTGGCTGTGTGCAGCCAGAAGGATGGCTAGCTAGCTGGGCAGCAGGACAGCTAGCTGGCTAGGTAGCACAACAGCTAGCTAGCTAGATAGCAAGGGAGCTAGATAGCTAGATAGTAGGCAGCTAGCTAGCTACATGGCAGGCGAACTGGCTAGCTGGGCAGTGAGGCGGCTAGCTAGCAAGGTTAGCTGCTGGGGGGCTAACTGTATGGGCAGCTAGCTTGATGAAGGGCGGCTAGCTAGCTAGATAGCAGAACAGCTAGCTAGCTAGATTGCGGGAGAGCTAAGCTAGCTAGATAGTGCCCAGCTAGCTGACTGAGGTAGCTAGCAGGGGGTGTCAGGGTCGTTGACTGAGTGGCTAGCTGGCTAGCTAGCTGGCTAGCTAGGGCTGGCTTTAAATGCTGCACGGACTTCGAAATGAAAAGGGGTTGAGGACCTGTGCAGCTTCGGCCGAGTGTAGCATTCTGAAGATTAGCCTTGGCTAGCTGCCCAGCTTGCATGGCTAGCTAGCTAGCTAGCTAGCTGTGCAGCTGCTGTGGCCGGCGATGCGGTTGGCCTTGGCTAGCTAGCTGTGCCGCTAGCCATGGCTGGCTAGCTAGCTGCGCGGCTAGCCGTGGCTGGCTAGCTAGCTGCGCGGCTAGCCGTGGCTAGCCAGCTAGCTAGCTAGCTGCGTGGCTGGCTAGCCGTGCGGCTAGCCGTGGCTAGCTACGTAGCTAGCCGCGGCTAGCCAAGCAGCTAGCAAGGAGTGTAGACGCTGCGAGGGGTGTCACTGGTTCGTAAGGCTTAGGGTTTAGGGTTTAGGGTTTAGGGTTTAGGGTTTAGGGTTTAGACGGCGAAGCGGCTGACTAGCTCGAAGAGGTCTTCAGCTGCTTGCTGCGAGCCCCTAGACCTCATCAAGACAGCCACTGCGCTTCTCCTGAAGTTTGCTGCTGCTCTAAGCCTCTTCTGCCGCTCTTGTTCCTGCTGCTGCTGCTGCTGCTGCTGCTGCTGCTGCTGCTGCGGCGGGCGATGCGGCCGCTGCAGGGGCTGCTGCTGCTGCTGCCTTCCGCGATCCTCCGGGTGCTCTGGCTGCTGCTGCTGCTGCTGCTGCTGCTGCTGCTGCGTCTCCGGAAGGGGTACTTGTTCGCTGCCTGCGTCTCCAGCTTCTCCCTCCTGTGGGGTCTCGGGATCGATGGGATCGCTCTCGTGTGGGGCCT